TTCTAGAGCTGCTTAGTAAGTCTTGGCAAACTCCTGTTTCACCCATTCCTATAGAAACCCTCTGTGGTTGGGGGAGCAGAGCCTTCTCATCAGTAAGCAGCCTAAGAGCAAAGGCAATCCCAATGTGTCCCAAGGGGCCCCTCCAACTTCCGCCCATTTTTCTGATAAATTGAGTGTTTCCATTCCCAGGCAGGCCATGTGCCCATGGCAGTGGCTCAATCCTGGCCAACAGGATACAAGGAAAGGAAATGTGCTGGCGATGGGCTTTCTCCAGTGGCAGTGGCTGGCGTCTAGCCCCTGGGGTGGGATGTTCCCATGCAGCATTGGGTTTGGAGGCTTTGCTGAGCTGTTGACAGCTCTCACTCCTAGTCTCAAACCATGTCTCTGTCAAACCAAATTTCCTTCTGGAACTTGGTGGTATTTTATAAAGGTAACCCAGCATTGTTGCTTTCTTGGTGACCTGAAGTAACTCACATTGATCTCAGAAAACCTTGTTTTGACCGTTATATTGATGCCCCCCCAAGAGGGTTTCTGGAAGATGGCATATCAGTTGTTCTGAAGCAGCCGTATTGCCTGATGATTAAGAACACAGTTTCATGGGACTCTTGTGAAAATTAAATGAGATTCTTAATTGAAGAGCCTAGCATAATACCTAAACTTATTCCCCTAGATTGAGTTTTCATATTTTAACCCCAATGCTTGGTGCATTGCTTGGTGTATAGTACATGCTCAATAAATTATCCATGGGAAAAAAAATGAATTAACTATATAGTAATTCTTTTTGTCTTAGGATTTAGGAGCATTAGGCCCACTGTTCAGAAAGAAGATACAGGGCTGGACCTGGTGGCTCATGCCTGTAATCCCAGCACTTTGGGATGCTGCGGCAGGAGGACTACTTGAGCCTAGGAGTTCAAGACCAGCCTGGGCAACATAGTGAGACCCCACCTCTACAAAAAATTAAAAATTAGCCAAGCATGGTGGTGCATGCCTGTAATCCCAGCTACTTGGGAGGCTGAGGCAGGAGAATTGCTTGAGCCCAGAAGGTCAAGGCTGCAGTGACCTATGATTGTGCTATTGTACTCCAGCTTCTGTGACAGAGTGAGACCCTGTCTTAAAAAAAAAAAAAAAAAAAAAAAAAAGATGATACAGGAAGACGAGCAAAGAATTGGGTTTGAAACTTTTTTGTAATTCAGTATTGGTGTCCCTTCCCCACCTTCTCCTGCCCGTTGGCAGCCTTTTATTGCAAGCCTAGCCCTTTCATTAGCTGCTCTTCTGCTGCCTGTCTGTCTGACATTTCCTGTGAATCTACACACGAAACTAACTGTGGAGTTGAGCAGGCTTGGAGCCTGAAGTTATAACAGCTAAAGGTAGGTATGGAACCTAAACTGAACTGAAGAAAAACTGATAGTGGCTGATATGTGTATGTGTGTGTGAGAGAGAGATCAGTGCTTGAGCACCTGCTGTGGGCCAGGCTGTTACAGGTGGCGATTTTTGTGAGTACTTGGAGTAAGGTAGTTTGTCCTCATTGGCCAGGTGGTCATGAGGGTAGAGGAAGACGTCCTTGGGCTGGGCCTGAGGTCTGCAAAGGGCTTTCTAAGCAGGAGTGGGGAGAAGGCGATTTCAGGGAGCAGGCATTGCAAAGATCCTAGTGCAGAAAGGGGAGGAAGAGGCTGAAATGGCCGCAGGGAATCCTCAGGGCTTGTGGATCACAGTGAAGATCTGTTTTTAAGGAGCTACTGGGCTCATGAAGTGAGATCTCATCAGGCTGTGGGCTGTCCCAGGTCTGAGAGAATAAAGGTTTGGAAGGAGTCATTTTACTAATCTGCCTCCCCAGCTGCCACCTACATGTAAGATGCAAGATTACATTGTCCAGCAGAAAACCCCCAGTCTGTAGCATTCTCACCTATGGCCTCGGGGCTGGCTGCCCTGTGCCCTGTTCAGAGTGCTTTCTCTGTGCCTGCTGGTCCCCAAGCTGGAAAGAAAACGTGACATTTGGATTTGGCGAGATTTAGATGTGGCAGCTCCCTTGTGGGACTCAAGTTTGACACTGGAGCTTTGTGTGTGCTTTGTGGGACCAGTTCCAGGAAGGATTGAGGGAGCATTGTTGGCTGTAAATAAACCTCCACTCTCTTACCCAGGACTTGGTGCTTCTCTGCTGAGTAAACCCTCCCAGATCAAATGGCAGCTTGTCTAGTTTCGTGAGTCTATATTGTTTTTACTTCCTTCCTGTGCTCTAGGCAGCCTCATCCGTGGCTGGACTTTTGTATTCCCTGCCGGAGGAACCATATTGCAGGTTCTGTAATTCCTAAGAATCAGGTCCCTGCCACTGACCTACAGCTGTGGCTGTTGCATCTCCCAGGTCTCAGTCACAGTTGGTTAAGAAACCAAATTGGCAGGCCGGGCGCGGTGGCTCAAGCCTGTAATCCTAGCACTTTGGGAGGCCGAGGCGGGTGGATCACGAGGTCGAAAGATCGAGACCATCCTGGTCAACATGGTGAAACCCCGTCTCTACTAAAAATACAAAAAAAACTAGCTGGGCATGGTGGCGCATGCCTGTAATCCCAGCTACTTAGGAGGCTGAGGCAGGAGAATTGCCTGAGCCCAGGAGGCGGAGGTTGCGGTGAGCCGAGATCGCGCCATTGCACTCCAGCCTGGGTAACGAGCGAAACTCCGTCTCAAAAAAGAAAAAAAAAGAAAAAAAAAAGAAACCAAATTGGCAGGTCGGGAGCACTGTTCTTCTCCAGGGACAGCCCCCAGCCTGCCGCAGCCACCTCCTGCTCTGATTGTTGGGCCTTTAGTCTCAGGTGGGGTCTGGATGGATTAGGGGTGTAGGCAGAGGAGGAGGCCTCAGCTCAGATTGGTCTCCTCCACCAGCTCGGCATTTGAAGCATTCTTCCTGTTTCCTCCCTTCTCTGTTTTCTAACTTGACTTTTGTTTTTCTCTTTTCATTTTCACTTGTGTCTTTTAGCTGTTGTCGTTGTTGAGACAGAATCTTGCTCTTTCAGGCTGGAGTGCAGTGGCGCAATCTCGGCTCACTGCAACCTCCGCCTCTCAAGTAGCTGGGATTACAAGCATGTACCACCATGCCCGGCTAATTTTTGTATTTTTTAGTAGAGACAAGGTTTCACCATGTTGTCCAGGCTGGTACCAAACCACCGGCCTCAAGTGATCTGCCCGCCTTCGCCTCCCAGAGTGCTGGCATTACAGACATGAGCCACCATGCCTGGCCTATTTTTCCTTGTGTCTTGATTGGACTTGAATGAGGGAGTTGAAGAGGTGGCCCTATTCTCTTCTCCCAGGAGCGGCTTCCCTTTCCTAGGTGAGGCACTTTGTTTTTGCCTTCCTTAGGAACTGGGTGAAAACCCCTCAGCCTGTTCTCACCACGTGTTGTTGCTCATGTCTCTGGGCCGCGGGTTCCATGCCCTCTGGCTAATGTAGACAGATGCCTGGTGAGTAGACATCCAGGATGAGTTCATTACTTTGACCAACTGAGAATTTCTACCTGGAGGCCAGTAGGTGGGTTCATACAAGTCAAGACAGGTGTTTCCTGTGCATTTCAAAGCACTGCTCAGGGGGAGAAGAAAGGAACAGTGCTTTCTTGTTGCTTTTTACTTGTATCCTCATAACCTTCTTCCCGCTTCCTGCCTCTGTGGGGGCCAAGTGAGAATCTCCCCCTCCAGCAGGTGTGATAACACCAGTGCCTTGAACAACTGGCAGTTTAAAATAATTGAACCTTTCTTCCATCTCCTTAGTTCTACCATTTAAAACATTTCAATGGGTGGGAGGTGAAGGTTGAAAAATTACCTACTGGTGACAGTGTTCACTTTTTGGTAATGGGTACACTAGGAGCCCAAACCTTACCACCAATTGTATAATATATCCATGTAACAGACCTGCACAGATACTGCTGAATCTAAAATAAAATAACAATTTTTTTAAAAAATTATAAAATCGATCCTTCATAACATGTTTTTTTCTGACACGTGGCATGCTTCCATGACAACTGTCATGGGTGCTTGGTTTATTTTTCTTTTTTTTCCTCCTCTTTTTTTTTTTTTTTTCTGAAACAGAGTCTCTGTCACCCAGGCTGGAGTGCAGCGGTGTGATCTTGGCTCACGGCAACCTCCACCTCCAGGGTTCAAGTGATTCTCCTGCCTCAGCCTTCCAAGTAGCTGGGACTACAGGCAAACACCACCATGCCTCGCTAAGTTTTGTATTTTTAGTAGAGTCGGGGTTTCACCATGTTGGTCAAGCTGGTCTTGAAGTCCTGACCTCATGATCCGCCTGCCTTGGCCTCCCAATTTACTGGGATTACAGGCTTGAGCCACAGTGCCCGGCCTCATTTTTGATACTGAATGCCTGGTATCTGAGACATGACTGGTAAGAAGATGTCTCTTTAGGCCTGTCGTCCTCCTTGTGATAGAGGTCATTATAGACGAATATGGTTACTGTTTGAATAGAGGCTGCTTTCGTTGGATGAAACTTGATTCAGTGGTTGGTGGTGTGTAAATGGCACTAAAAAGCAACTCTGAGGTATTCCAGGTTCTCCCTGTGTCACCCAGGCTGGAGTGCAGTGGCATGATCATAGCTCACTGTAGCGTTGACCTGGGCTCAGGTGGTCTTCCTGTCTCAGCCTCCCAAGTAGCTGGGACTACAGGCTGGTCTCAGATTCCTGGCCTTAAGCAGTCTGGCCCCCCTCAGCCTCCCAAAGTGCTGGAATTACAGGCGTGAGCCACCATGCCTGGCCAAGTGGGCACTTTAGGATCCAGAGAACTTAGGTTGTTGTCTTTCTTCTTCAGGAGAAGCTCGGCACAGTGACAGAGGCGCCCAGGGCTCAGCAAGCTCACGGCCCAGCTTGTTGGACTCAGAGGGCAGAAGAATCACATTCTAAACATGACAAGGTATAGCCGCAGGAGGCAAATTCCCAGCTTGATTCTCCAGAGCCTTCTAGGTCCCAAGGGTGCCTGTGACACCAATGGGAATCTGAACCAACACAGATTCCAGAGTTGTCTTAGGAGACCTTAGCGCAGCTCTGGCCACTTCCTGAGCATGCGTGTGGCTTCCGAACTGTCCAGGCTACTTCATGCGTTTGGTTTAACGGGTTCTCATAAGGCAGAAGAATCTTCTTGAACTCGGAGTTGGGTCCATGGTCCGTTGGTCAGTACTTTGTTCAGAGGCACTGAGGGTGGAGGGCCTGTGGAGCTGGATTGTGCTGCTGGGAAATTGGATGGGCCTTGCTTCTGGGCCTCAAGTTCAGAACTGAGAGTCCCAGTGTTGTGAGCTTAGGGTATACTCTGGGCATGCCACACACTTTTTTTGTACTAAGAGGATAGAAAAGCAAAGACCAGACTAGTTGTCAAATCGAAACCCACCTACCCAGTATATGTATGTCTTAGGCATAGAAGGAATAATTGGGGGTGGGGACTGGAGAACCGAGCTAAAGGGAAAGACTAAAAGGGTTAAAATACTTCCTGTGATTTTGCCCCATCATCTCTTTTCTTCCAGAGACGTGACTCAACAACCTCAGCTGGGCCTGGCAGCACACATATCCCACACACCTTGCCATCTCCAGGGTCACAAAAGCCACAAGAAGCCACAGGGAGGCTCCTGGCCTCTTACTTTACCTAAGGAGCCCCTGAAGTGGCAAGTGTGTTTCCCTTTGAAGAGCCATCGCGCGTTTGGTGACACTTCCTGTGGCTCTGGGGTAGATGCGGTAGACTCCCTGTGTGGGGATTGGGCTTCTGCAGTGAGTCCATGAGAAGGGGTGGGCGTGGTGTGGTGTGGAACCTTGGGGAAGGGTGAGTGGGGGCTGGAGGAAGAGTTAATGAATGGACAGTCCCATATGATCAGCCAGCTGGCAGCGGGGAGGTAGGAGCTGATGTTTTCCCATAATCAGCACCCAAAAAGCTGTTCTCTAAAGGGAAAATTTAAGGACATTTCCCAGCCCCATGTTTTGTTACTGACACTGAGGAACATTGGTTTCAGAGTCACTGCTACAAAGGCATTGTTGCTGGTCCCCTGAGAGACTGGCAGTCTCTGTAGAGCCGCTGATTTATGACTGCAACCTGAAGTTGGCGTGGCAGTCCTCCAGGCGCGCCTCCCTGCCCACTCCCAGCCTCCTCTTTGCCCACCTGATTGGCAGGGGGCAGTGGCTCAAAGAGACGGTTACTAAGCAGCCTGGCCTGGATGTGGTGCCCCGCCAGGTTGAAAGAATAGCTACAGTGTTCAGAGGAATGGGAAATTTGGCCTGTCCTGGCATCAGGAGGGACTTTTTGGGAAGGGGTCTAAGACTGAGTCTAGGCTCAGGATGGGGAACTGGGTGGCCTCCCTGGCACCCTCCTTTTGAGCCATGGTGTGGTGTGCCATGTCTTTGTGTAAGTGGAGCCTGCGGAGCTCTGCGCCTGTCCTCAAGAACGTCTTGTGCAGGGTGCTTCCTGTCCCTCCTGCCTCGCTGATCAGAGGGAAAGGACCTGGTGTCCCACGACTTTCTGTGAACTCTGCTTCTGCTCTTCTGATCATTAGCAAGTGTGGCCTTTGAGATTGTTGATCTAGCTGGGTTTGAGGGGCTGGGTGTCAGCAACCCAGAAATGGGGGAAACAGGTATGTTCTTGCCATTTTACACTTGGGACAATGGAGGCAAAGGAAGACGTGTGATCTGGGGCTTGGACCATGGCCTTCTCTGCATTGAGTTTGGTTTAGATGAAACATTTACTATGGAGCAGTGAAATCCAGAAAACCTCTAGCCTTTGCTCTCAGGTTTCTGCAGGACCTGTGAACGTGACTGTCATGGGACAGTGTTTGCATTCAGGATTGAAAGAAGCTTTTCTTTGAAGGGAGGATAAAGCCAGTGTAAAGAGCTGAGAGCCTGAGAGAGGCTGCCTTGAGCCCAGAACCTCTCTGGGAGCCCCGTTCTGTCGCTCTTTGAAGGTTCGCTGCATGCTTGCTCTGAGGTTCCATGAGCTGCCCCTTTATCCTCATGATAAAGCCTCCCTTTTTTGAACCAAAAATAAGAAAAGTCTCTTGGGAGCAACTAGTCTGCATTTTCATCTCGAGAGTCTGCTGTTAACAAAGCAGTCACCTCTTGCTTCCTCGGTACCAGCGGTAGAGGCAGTGGTGTCTGGGCTAGCTGGGGCCTTGAGCTCTGCACTCCATTCAGGCATGCTTCCTCGGACCCAGGAGCGCTCAACAGGCAGGGCATACATTGTCCGGGTGGCCGCGGCAGGCTTGCTAGTGTGTGTTCTCCTCAGCGCTGTGTTTGGTCACTGAAGAGGCATGGAGGAGAGACCGGCGTGGGGCTCTGGAGCATCCGGCTGCTGCGATGCCGGAAGAAGAGGGTTCGAAGGCTCGGGGGTGCCAGAGGCCCCTGAGGCATCAGCTTACCCTTAGTGTTCCTAGCGGTGCTTTTACCTTTTCTCCGTCCTTAAGAACCCTGAGTGGTCTCAGCGGAGAATAGCTGGCCCAGGACCCCAGTCTTACCTCCTTGTATTTCTCTTTTGCAGGATAATACGGAAGCAGAAAAGCGAGACCCCCAGGAACTCGTGGGTGAGTATCGCGGGAGCTGGGGGGTGGGAGGTGCGTTTCTCAGCCTTGCCCCTAGCGGCCTGGCTTCTGGCCATGCCAGGCCTGTCACCCCACAGGGCTTCTGTCTGCTATGACCGCCATGATCCCTTTGGCTCCCTCTCAAGGCCTTTGGCATTTCCTAGGATACCACGGGTGAGACGCCCAGGGAACAGTTCTTCTTTGGAAATCGTATTTGTGGTGGCGTTTTATTGGGTTTGGTCGATTGCCAGCGCTGTCAAGAGGGAATTCAGGGCCCCTTCAGCTGGGAGCGTGTCTTGGTCTCTGCTTCCCTTAGTGCCCCGGGCCTGTCCTCTGTCTTTGTGCCCCCTCCTCCCCCTCTCTGCTGGCATCTGCATGCGGCTCAAGGAGTCAGCATGTGGCCTCTGCTGGCACTTTGCTTTGTCCCCAGGCAGAAACATGCCTCAGCCCTGGAGTCTGGGGCTCTTTGTGACTTGAGAGAGCAGGGACACTCTGTTTCTGGAAAACAGCACACATTATCAAGTCCTGTGCTAGCCCAGCCTTTTAATCCTTTTAGAAAGCCCCCCAGCTCCTTTCACATGGCTCCCAAAGCCCGACCCAGGGGGAGTTCCTGGTATCTGAGTCCAGAGCCCTTGGTGGGGTTGGCCCTCCCTCTCTGTGGCAGCCATTACCAGCTCCCCTGCCCATCCCGCTGATCTTCACAAACAGGCTCTTGCCTTCTGCAGCCTTGCCGCGGTGGCTTACTGGCTCCAGCCCTGGAGGTTCAGAGCCCAGGGACCACCTGGAAGTGCTGCTCCAGTGCTCAGACCCTCCCACCCAGGCTTTCTTCCAGTAGGACCTCTTTGCTGGGAGTTGTGCTCCGGAGCCTGTTCTCCTTTTCCTGAACTAAAGGAGCTGGGAATCGTTCATTCTGTTTGTTTTTTGAAGACGGATTGGGTAGGAACAGGATAACACTGAGCAGCCCAGACCCTCAGCAGGAGGACCTTAATCCCTGAGTGCTCTGATGGAGCTTGAGTCTTTCAAATCCTATAAAAACCAGGATTTTTCTAAAATCTAGAGTTTGCTCTTTATAAAGTGGTGCGTAGGGGTGCAACATTTGGCTTTGAGGGCAGAGGAAGCAGCGTGTGCATCTGCTGGGAAGCCGACAGCCTGCCCTAAGGGGGTGATCCACGGGGTGGGTGTGGATGGGAGCCTCGGCCTCTTCTCCCCACCATCACCCGAGCTGACCCTGCTGTTCACTTTGAGAAACGGCGCAGCCGGGGATCAGCAAGCAGCCTGTCACATGCCAATGCAGATGCCCTCGCTATTGCTAGGGGTGCTGGGCAGGCGGTGGAATGTGTGTGGGCATCAGCCATCTCAGCCCTCAGCTGCTTCCAGGGCCAACTTGTCACTTTTTCTCTCTCTGCCGCTTTTTGGAAATAGCTTTATTGAGGTATAATTTACATACAGTAAGATTTGCCAATTTTAAGTGTGCCATTTGATGAATTTTGACAGATGTGTATAGTTGCGTTAGCCCCCACTACAATCGTGATACAGAACATGTCCATCACTCCAAAATGTTCCCTCTTGCCCGGACCCTGTTACAGGTGATTCCCTCTCTCAGCCTCAGGCAAGTCGTGATCTACACTTTCCTCACTATAGCTTTGCCTTTTTGAGAATTTCCTATAAATCAGGATCTCCCAGCCCGGGCGCTACTGACACTTTGGGCTGGATGATTGTTGTGGGGCCTTCCTGTGCTTTGTAGGGTGTTAGAGCAGTGCCCTTGGTCTCTACTCCTACATGCCTTAGGCACTCTCCCTCCCGCAGGTGTGAGGATGATCCACATCTCCAGACATTGCCAAATGTCCCCTTGGGGCAGAATTGCTCCCAGTTGAGAACCAGGGATAGAAATGGAGCTAGGGTTTTCGTCTGGCTTCTCACTCAGCACAGCGCTTGCAAGGCTCATCCATGTTGTTGGGCATGTCCAGAGTTTCCTTGTGTAGCCAAGTAATATTTCACTGTAGGGATACACCACCGTTTGTTTACTCATTCACCCATGGAACACACAAATGGATTTTTAACCGGCATCATTTTAATGACTCACCGTTCCTCATGGAAGGCTCATGTAGCTCCTTTTACTGAAGACATAATTAGTTGAAGGCAGAGTGGCTTCTGTTCATGATGGCGGCACATATCAGCCCCTCTGCCTAAGTTTCTTTTGTCCACTCTGGTGTCAAGACTCACATTGCTTACCAGATATGGGAAGCTTGTCCATGCGTGTAGACGGCCCTAGCTTTAACAGAACAAGCAGGGGAGCAGAGAAGCCAAGCCACAGGCATCTGCAGCTCTGTAGCCCCTTGACAGAGCGGAGCGTACACACCCTGTCTGTGCCCTCCAGGGCCTTGCTGATGCCCACGCCTGAGCCTAGAGCAGTGGTGCTGGTGTGGCAGTGCAGTTGAGTTCTCTGTGTCACTTAGGAGCTGCAGATACTCCACTGTCCCCTGGGGCCCCCAGCTCACTCCCTCCCTCCCATCCCATCAGCCTGTCCAACTAGCTGCTCCTGTGCAGATCCCTCCCTGCAGCTGTGGGCACTATGGGTGTTGTCTGACTTGGGCACGTACCAGGGCAACTCATGCTGACAGCTGGCTTCTCAAGTCCTAAGTGTGGCTGCCTCTGAGAAAACCCCCATCAGGCCCAGGCAGTAGCCACCACAGACCCAGGCACTGCTTCCAAGTGACTGGACACATTGCGCTATATATGTCCTGGGACATGGCTTGAGGTTCTGTCTGCTCATAATAAATGTGGGCCTCATGTCTTCCACTCAGATTCATTCCAGGACTCAGGAAGGAAAGGATTATTGAAGGGTTGCTTCCAAACTCTGTGTTGTACCTTTGTATCTAGTTTTCCTAAATGTGTCCCTTTATTTGCCAGCCTGCTTCCTAGGAATTATCTTGTTTCAAGCCCTGGGCTTCAGGGAGGGCTCCTCTTATCACACTGTATGCCATGTGAGCCCCAGAGTATGGCTGAGTTGCTGTGGCAACAGGGTCACACCCTGTTTTTCCAAAAGGCTTTCCTGGCAAATGCCAAAGGGCACTCTTTGTGTCTCTGTTGCATGCACACATATGAACTCTCCAGCCCAGGGAAGAACATAACGCTGCTTGTTTATGTGCCCAGTGCCTGCCAGGGCCCTCCTTGCTTTTGTTGCTGCTGCTTGTGAGATAGGACCAGCTCCCCCCAAGCTGATTCCGCTCTCCACCAGCTTCTGCAGCCACAGGTTTAGCCCTGTCACCTATCCTGGGGCTGGGAGAAAGGAGGAAGTCAGGAGGAGACTTGAATTCCAGCCATATATGGGTGTCACCTTTGCTTGAGGAATCAGACCAAAGGAAGCTGCTGGGCAAAGAGAAGCACTCCGTCCCCTGCTCTTGGGCTGCACTGGCATCTGGGGTCCACAGCAGGACCTCTGATCAGTGTGTCACCCAGTCTTTGTTCTCTTGCCCTCACGCAAAATGGCAGGTTAGTGTTCTGTTCTTGGGGCGCTTCCAACAAGAATCCATCGACAGCAGCGAAAATCAGCACTTGAAGTCGTGTTTTTAGGATGGCCCCAGGCTCGACCCCTGTTTCAGAGTGTATTTGCATTGTGCATAGGCTTGTCCTGTAGCAGCTGGACTAGCAGAGTCCGGGGGCCTTGTCCCCAGCCCTCCTCAGCACTGCGTTCTTTACTGTAACTGAAACCCCAGGCGGAGATCAAAGCACCTTATCTACTAAGCAAACAATAACCTGGCCTGGGGAGAGGAGAAGGGGCAGGCTGTGCAAAGTCAGCCCGGGCAGCTCAGCAGTGGGGTTAGCTGGGGCCTGCACACAGTAGGTGCCCAGTAAGTGCTTGCTGAGTGTTACTGGTGGTTTATTCGTTCTTTCTCTTCATCCTGCCGCACCCTGCCCTGCCTTCTGTTTGCTCATTGTATGGTCCTTTTCATGAGAGAGTATTTTGAAGAGCACAGACAGAATCTTAACAACAAACAGTGCATTGTCCCAGCGATCCCAAGCAGGATTGCAGGGCCAGGGTGGCCAGAAGCTGCTGGGAAGGGGCTGGAGAGAGCAAGGCCTGCTGGGCAGTGGCAGATCTCTGAGGAAATTATCCCCTGGGGGTTGTGGTTCTTCCCATCAGAATCAGGCCTTTTGTTCTCAGGAATGAGGTGGGTAAGAGAGAGTCGATTGGTTTATTTTTATAAGATTCTAAGCTAATAACTATAAAAGATCATTTACGCACAAGGCCATTTTGGATGCTTTGGGAACCCTGAGTTCTGTTTCTCCTGTAGCCTAGGCAGAGACGTACCCAACGTAGGCTGGAGCTGGTTCACATTGTGAGCCTATTGTGCACATCTCTTCCCTGCCCTGGGTTCAGCGACTTCACCTTGGTATCTTAAATTTGGCCATGGCAGGAGAATTTACACCACAAGAAATGGCAAATCCTACAGATCATGCGCCTCCCCAGTTCCCCATCCCTGTGGTGGTTAAACATTTACCGGCACACTGCTGACTCTTTCCTTAAAAGTTTACCATTATGGGCTGGGCGCGGTGGCTCACGCCTGTAATCCCAGCACTTTGGGAGGCCGAGGTGGGTGGATCACAAGGTCGAGAGATCGAGACAATCCTGGTCAATATGGTGAAACCCCGTCTCTACTAAAAATGCAAAGAACTAGCTGGGCATGGTGGCACGTGCCTGTAATCCCAGCTACTCAGGAGGCTGAGGCAGGAGAATTGCCTGAACCCAGGAGGCGGAGGTTGCGGTGAGCCGAGATCGTGCCACTGCACTCCAGCCTGGGTAACAAGAGCGAAAATCCATCTCAAAAAAAAAAAAAAAGAAAAGAAAAAGTTTACCATTATGGGCTGGGCATAGTGGCTCATACCCATGATCCCAGCACTTTAAGAGGCAGAGGTAGGAGTACGGCTTGATCCAACAGTTCAAGACCAGCCTTGACAACATAACGAGCCCCCATCTTTACAAAAACTTTTAAGATTAGCCAGGCATGGTGGCATGCGCCTGTAGTCCTTGCTACTCAGGAGGCTGAGACAGGATTGCTTGAGCCCAAGAGTTCAACGTTGCAGTGAGCTTTGATTGTACCACTACACCCTAGCCTGGGTTACAGAGTAAAACCCCCATCTCTTTTATTATTTATTTATTTTTTTATTCTATGTATTTTATTTCCTTTTTTGAGACAGAGTCTCACTCTGTCACCCAGGTTGAAGTATATTGGCACGATCTTGGCTCACTGAAGCCTCCACCTTCGGGTTCAAGCGATTCTTGAGCCTCAGCCTCTCGAGTAGCAGGGATTACAGGCATGCGTCACCATGCCAGTTGATTTTTGTATTTTCAGTAGAGACGGGGTTTCACCATATTGGCCAGGCCGGTCTCACTCCTGACCTCAAATGATCTGCTCACCTTGGCCTTCCAAAATGTTGGGATTATAGGCATGAAAGGAAAAAACTTAACTGCTGCATACAGTTATACACTCTACCTGGACTTTTCTTTGCTCAAGCTGGCACATGGCCCACCCCTTTTGGTCATTCAGTCTCAACTCAGATGACACCTCAGAGAGGCCACACCCAAACACTCAGTTGTACTGTTTTCATAGTGTTTATCCCACCTGGAAACACTGTATGTGCTTACGTTTTTTTGTCCATGTCTGTCCCTTGTGCTAATCCCCCACCTACAGAATTTTTCCCTCTTCTCTCAACAGCCTCCTTTTCTGAAAGAGTTCGGAACATGTCGCCTGATGAAATCAAGATCCCGCCAGAACCCCCTGGCAGATGTTCAAATCACTTACAAGTAAGCATGAGGCTTGGCTACTGAGGCCGGATAGATTAAATAGCCTGGGTTACGTGTTTGGTTTGGTCTTAACCTGAAGAGACCATGGCAGGGAAAGGGACCAAGGCTTCTTTAAAGAAACTGCCAGGTGGGAAGGGTCCGCTTTACCTCCTATTAGCCTCACCTCAGGAGTCGGCTCCTACACCCACTGCCATGTGCCCTGGTGCTCCTCCAGCAGAGCAGCCCTGGCTTGCTCTCAGTAAGGTCCTAAGCAGAGGCGAAGAAAATAACATAACCTTCTCTGTGCAGCCCTTCTGGGCCAATGGGAGCTTCTCAGAAGGAGCTTTGCTAAGAAACTGAGGAACCCTCAGAATGTAAAATAAATTACAATTATAAAAAAACACAAGCACTTAAAAGGTTTCTATCCTGATATATTTCTAAAATGCTGATTCAGTAGCTTCTTGCCTGACAGAATGTGCAGAACTGACTGGAGGTTTTTTGTTTTTTTTTTTTTTGAGACGGAGTTTCGCTCTTGTTACCCAGGCTGGAGTGCAATGGCGCGATCTCGGCTCACCGCAACCTCCGCCTCCTGGGCTCAGGCAATTCTCCTGCCTTAGCCTCCTGAGTAGCTGGGATTACAGGCACGCACCACCATGCCCAGCTGATTTTTTTGTATTTTTAGTAGAGACAGGGTTTCACCATGTTGACCAGGATGGTCTCGATCTCTCGACCTTGTGATCCACCCGCCTCGGCCTCCCAAAGTGCTGGGATTACAGGCTTGAGCCACCGCGCCCAGCCTGTGACTGGAGGTTTTAAAATCCCAAGGAGTCGAAGCTTTTAGTGCAGTTACACTCCCTTGGGGGACAGCTGGGGTTCAGCTCATGGTTCTCCTTGTCCCTCTGTGAGTTCCCTTGTGATGAACAATAAAACAGGCACCCATGGCTGCACAATCATGGCTCCTGGACCACCTGCTTCACCTTTGATCCTGGAGCTACCACTGGATGCCTTCAACTACACAGCAAGCCCACGGCACCACCCTAACGGATAGATGACTAATGGGACCCAAGGCTAAAGAATGCAGCAAGCCGGGGGAGGGCCAGAGTCAGAACCGGGGATGCAGCGCAGATTCTCTTCCCTTCCTGGAAGTCTCCTCCCATTGCTGAGCTGTCTCCCCACCACCACCCTCCAGAATCACATCACCCTCCATGCCAGGGAGGCAGACAACAAGCTCCAGCTTGTAAGGACAACTCCAGCAACCTGCCAAGCAGAGACAGCAGCGATGCCTCCGGTGCTGAATGTGCCTCCTGATGGTGCAAACCATGCCACTTGAGCAAACATTTTAGTTCCTCTGGGGTGGTAGAACTGATCTAATGGCCCAGGAGATGCAGCCAAGTCATCTGTAAGACATGGGTCCTCCTCAAGTTGCCGAGCCTTCTGTATATGGCTCCCTCCATTACCCTGAAGGAGATAGCTTGGAGGGAAGAGATTCTTGAGTCTTGGCGATTATATCACAGACGTCTCTACAGTTCAGCTCTTGCTCTGGCCAGTCTCAGTAGAAAGATGTGGCCTCTAACAAGGGGAGTGGATCACCCCTCCTGATGTGCCCTAAATATTGTCACATGGGCCCTTCAGGCCTGCCCACCCGCTTTGGCAGGTGCGGTGCCTCAGATGTTTTCCTTCTGGAGAATCTGTATTTAACCCCCACCTCAGGGGAGGCTGTAAGTAGATCTTGCCCTGGGCCAGTGCCCGCCTTACTGCCATGAGATTCTGGTGTCTTGGGCCTCTTCGTTGGCACTGGGCTGTGCTGATGCCATCTACTGTGGGCATCATCTCCATGGGCTGTGGACACCTGTGGCACTGGCCACAGTAGGTAAGCCTGGATCCCTCCGGGTGGTTCTCCACTCTCCCATTGAAAGCCAGGCAGTGACCCGTGGGGGAGTGTGGGGGAGAGATAAGCAGTCAGCCCTCTATGCTCTCGATAAACTGGTGTGGACCAGCCACCTGTGAGCCACCCCATAAAAAGTTTGCAAGACCAGATTCAAAAAACTCTACTCCTGCCTCCCATCAAAAGGACATAGCCCTTCCGAAGTCTCCCCTGGGTCACAGTTCTGCTAAGGACTTGACCTCATGTTAAAATTTAAAACCAGGATTCAGTCCCTGCATATCAACACCAATGCCCTGAATCCTTCTTCGGATGATTCTGGAACTGATTAACCGGTTGGGGCTTTCTTCATTATTTTCTCCGTGGCTCCTCTGCTGTGATCTTTTCACTGCTCACTATACTGTCATCAAGAGGGTGTCAGGAAACCTCAGCGATGGAAGCAGCCTGGTCTGAGTTTATCCTACTTGTGTGCAGCTCTGGGCAAAGGCAGGGTGGAGAAAGAGTAGATTAAATTTTAACACAAGGTCAAGCTGGGCTTTGCATGGCTCTGGAGCCTCACGTTCATGCTGCACACAGCACTGGTGACCAGGGGCTGGGACAGTGGAGGGACCTGGGCTTCTGTCGTATGCGCCCTCTGCTCCTGTTCCATAGGACAAGATCCAGAAGCTTTATGAACGAAAGATAAAGGAGGGAATGGATATGAACTACATTATCCAAAGGAAGAAAGAATTTCGGAACCCCAGGTAAGTTTCCCTTGAGTTGAGCCTGCAGAGTTTACTGAGTTATTAATGTTGACCTAACGGCTGAGACATACCCAAGAAGGTGGTGAGGAAAAGCCCTGAGCCCAAACCATCACCCACACTTGTCATTACACTGAGTGCCTGCTAGACACAGCAGACTGCATTAACCCAGCCAGAGGCTTGCCATTCATCGAGACAAAACACATAAAGCAGTACCTACCGAGACCTGGGCTGGGATGAGGGAGACCTAGCTGAGTTCTTTGTCCTTCCTCTGAGCCCAAAGCACATGATCTCTCAAGGCCTCTGTGCTCACGGAAGGGATTGGACTGGACAATTACTGTAGGTTCATCTTAACTCCAAAAAGCTGATTTTTGCATATAGGTGAGAGGCCTTAGGACCAGAGCTGTGTCTGGTCTTATTCCATTTAATGCTCAAGCTAGTGAAATACCCAGGAAAGAGCATGTCCTTTGTGTGGGCCTGAGTGTGGTGAGTCCAACCCAGCCATGCAGACTGAAGGTCAGTGAGACAAAACTTAGCCATCACCTTGACCCCATGCTCTTCCCGGCCCCTAGTTAACAGGTCCGTCTCCCTGGTAGGGTGGAGGGCCATCAGGAAGGTTGCTTAGAACCACTAAGCTGGGTTTAAAGGTTTTGAAGGTTTTGTGTCAGCCCAGGGAACTTGATGGTTCAGGTGTCGTGCAGGGACGTGGACTTGGGCCTGCTCAGCACCTGTGCTGTTCTTTCAGCATCTACGAGAAGCTGATCCAGTTCTGTGCCATTGACGAGCTTGGCACCAACTATCCAAAGGTGCGTCTGGCACACGGGGCTGGAGGGTGATAGGGACACCAGGGTCCTGTGTTTGTTCCATGGGATTTGACCTGCATCAACAGTAAGGTCCATGGAGTGGCACCGCTGGTTGAAAAGCACAGTCCCCATCTCTTTGGTTTAAGTCCCTATTGTTCTGAAATAGTCCAGTAAAGAGATTCCAGTGGTCGTCCTGGTGCCTGGCCCCTGACAGGGCCATGTGTAGACCTGCTGCTCTTGTAGGCTCACCTGGGGGTCTCTGGACAGGGACATTGTGCTCCCTTTAGCACTTGCTGACTGCCCTTGGCTAGAGACCAGGAATGACAGCCAAGCCCTGGATAAGGGGACCCCAGGCCAGGAAGCTCCATAGAAAGACTCGGGCATGGAACTTGGGTTTCTGAGTCATTTGTCATCTAATGGTTCCTACTAACTGCAACTTCACCTTTTCCTTTGCAGGATATGTTTGATCCCCATGGCTGGTCTGAGGACTCATACTATGAGGCATTAGGTAGCATTTCGTCCCTCCTCCCATATACCTCATCCGCCCACCCGACTGTCCCTTTGTTTAGTCAGTTGGTTTTCCAGGTGATACATGTTTCAGGGTCTCCTCTACATCAGGCCATGTTCAAGGGAGGGGCTGGATACAGGCCTGAATGAGATAGACCCACTCCTGACTTAAGAGGCTTATGCCACAGCAAAGAAGACGGAACATCACACCAGTAATGCCAGCATCGATGAGTGTTGATGATGACGGAGTTGCTGGGTACAGGGAGCTTTGGCAAGCAGGGTCATCTAACCCGGCCAAAGGGATGGAAAGGCCTTGCTGCTGAAACTGTATTCAAGCTGAGGTTTGAGGAGGCTTAGGGGCCAGGCAGGTGTAGGCAGAATGCTCCGAGGCCAGTGGGAGCACAGCTTTTTTTTTTTTTTTTTTTTTTGAGTCGGAGTTTCGCTTGTTACCCAGGCTGGAGTGTAATGGCGAGATCTTGGCTCACCGCAATCTCCACCTCCTGGGTTCAAGCAATTCTCTTGCCTCAGCCTCCCAAGTAGCTGGGACTACAGGTGCACACCACCACGCCCAGCTAAGTTTTGTATTTTTAGTAGAGACGGGGTTTCACCATGTTGACCAAGGATGGTCTCGATCTCTTGACCTCATGATCTACCTGCCTCAGCCTCCCAAAGTGCTGGGATTATAGGCGTCAGCCACTGTGCCCGGCAAGCACGGCTTATTCTTAAGGTACCAGTTTGGGAGAAGTGGAGGAACATCAGAAGGCCTAAACCCCTAGACTATAGGTCCTGAGCCTGCAGCCCAGGGGCCTATAGAGGTGCTTTGTTTGGCCTTCATGAATTTTTTCTTTTAATTTGAATTCATTGCCAACATTTTACATCATAATTTCTCATTCCAGCTTCTCTCAGTCAGTAGGAAGGTAGTCGCCATTGGGCCTGTATTCCCCTGTGCGGCAGTTCACTGGAGCTCGGGAGTAGCTGGCCCTTCCAGACGCAGACGCAGGGCATGCAGCCCTCAAGCCCTGGAGTTGAAGGCTCCTGCTGCGTGCTGACCAAGGGCTGGCTTCATTTTGCCTAGCACAAAGGACGCAGCCCAGTGAGAAGAATGCAGGGATCAGAGTAGGCGCCCTCAGCCCAGAGCTGCTCCAGGGCTGCCATGGTAACAGCTTCTCTTGTCTTCATAGCCAAGGCCCAGAAGATCGAGATGGACAAATTGGAAAAGGCCAAAAAGGAGCGAACAAAAGTAAGTGATGGTAGACTTTGTAGATGAAAAAGGCAGATGTGTGGAATGCGTGGGTCCTGCTGGCTGAGCCCAGAGGTTGTCCAGGCTGCCCCCCATCCTGACCCCATGTCATCGCTTGGCGAGGCTCTGACCCCCTCAGCAGGGCCTGTGCACTGAGCAGGCCTACTGGGCTCACAGGCCTGCTGGCGCTCATCTGCTGCCTCGCCCTTGGCATCTTGTTTGCTACATTGTGCCCCCACAATTGCAGAGCCTTGCGGAGCTTTGTCTGCTTCGGGTCATGAGTGCCCTTTCCGACCTGAAGGGAGGGAAATTAGTTCCCTGAGACAGTGCCAGGCCCAGCTTGCTCTGCTCGGTGAGTTTCTTGGCCTCCGGAGCTGACCCCATTGGCCCGCCTGGATGCTGCCTGTTAGGACCCTGAGTGCCACTTGTTCCCCAGCAGTGTGGTCTGGGTTCTTCAGGGAGCATCAGTTTGGCTGTGAGACCAAAGCCTTGTCTCTGGGCATTGTTCCCTTTGTGACCAGAGTCCTGGAGCCGGGCATCAGGATACCAGCTCCTCCACCTCTGGCTGGGCCTGACCATCCTCAAGCAGCTGCAGCCTCCAGACCGCTTCCCGCACCCCCAGGCAGAGGGGCTGTGGGCCTGGGCATGCTGGTGGCCCTCTGGAGGCACTGGCTGCTGGGCCAGGAATGTGGGAGCTGGTTCAAGGGGATAATTGGGGTTTCTCATTCTTAAACCTTCATTGAATCTCCCTTCTCTCTCTTTCCCTCTCCCTTCCAAACCCCAGGCTTGTTGCAGGGACGTGTCTGCAGCGCCTGGGGACCGGAGCTGTCCTTCCCCTGTGCGGGCGGGCGCCGCCTCCTCCTGGGTGTGAGGAGGAGGGGCCTGGCCAAACGGTTCTGGGCATATGAGGTGGGGCAGTGGGTGAGGGGTGCTGGGATGTATAGAGACCTGGTGATGCCGGGAGGGATCCGGTACTGTTTGGAAAGTTTTTTAAGAGTGAAAAGCCCCTTCGGGTTCTTAGACACCTCACCCTCCCCCAGATGGTCACAGCAAAGTTGATTTCCAATGCCTCCTTCGTGTAGTGCCAAGCTCCTGTCCCCCAGGAGCTGACGGATGGCAAAAGGCTGTGGACACCCAGCTTTGCCCAGTCTGATTCTCTTCCCTCTCCCTCTTCAGATTGAATTTGTGACAGGCACCAAGAAAGGCACCACAACCAATGCCACGGCCACCACCACTACCACCGCCAGCACAGCTGTTGCAGGTAGATTGCAGAGATGCCCTGCCTCCTTCCACACACACATGGAGCCTGGGATGGGCCCCTTCGGTTTCTGCTCCCTAAGCCCTTGCTGGCCCGCTAGGGGAAGGGAAAGAGGGCACCCACTCGTTGGTGGATCGTGATCCTGACTTCTCTTGCTTTATCTCCAGATGCTCAAAAGAGAAAGAGCAAGTGGGACTCAGCTATCCCAGTGACAACGATAGCCCAGCCCACCATCCTCACCACCACGGCCACCCTGCCAGCTGTTGTCACAGTCACCACCAGCGCCAGCGGCTCCAAGACCACCGTCATCTCTGCTGTGGGCACTATTGTGAAGAAGGCCAAACAGTGACCTGAGGGGCTACCCTAGGACTTGAAAGGACCATGCAGCCCAGTGACCACTGCCCAGTGGGAGGTGCCACTTTGTATATTTCAGGACTGGGAACTGCTCCCCAGATGCCACCTGAGAGGAACTTCTTTGTGGCATTCCATCCAGAAGGACATGTAGCGTGGGAGCCGGGCACTATGGACAGGATCTGTCTGCGCACTACCTGGGGTCTGTTGCCCATTAAAAGTGCCGTATTTTTACCTCTTGGCATCTCAGATGCACTGCCTCCTCCTGCATTCTGTTTGCAGGCAAATGTTGAAGCTCATATGTCCCCCATTTTGGTTGGGACTACTGCCTCAGGGTTGACAATAGGGTGATGGAGGCCCAGGACACTGTTTGGAGGGGTGGCCCAAGAGGTTACCGTTGTTATCCATATATGCTTCTGGCCATGGACAGACAGGAGACCCCGAGCCCCATATTCGTGCCGTCTGCCACCTTGATTGCAAAACCCAGCCCGTTCTCAGGTGATGGCCGAGCTGTGCTCCCTTGGGTGCGCTTGAGCACTCCCCACACCAAACCCCTTCTTGGACACACCCAGAATTTTGAAGTCAAGCCAGTTTCCAGAAAGGCTAGGGTGAGATCCCGACCTGCACAGGGAGTGGGGATGCATCCGTGCCTGGCCAAGGCTACCTCAATCCCTCGGTGCCCGGTCAGCACAGCCAGCCAGACTGAGCAGTGGGGGAGATGAATCACCTCCTGCCTAGGCCAGGCGGCAGCTCATTGTTTACGGGCAAGCCCTGCTCCTGGGAGGGCTCCTGCCACCCCACCCTTCCTCTGCATGTTATCTCTGCCCCACAGCAGCCCCTGGGCAGCACCAGTGGCCACTGGGCTCCCCCCCGGGGCTGAAACGGGTTTCCCAGACCAGGAGTCCAGAAGAGACCGTTTACCCTTCATGATCTTTGGCGACTCTCCACTGGAGCGGAAGGGCTGTGTGTCAGAAGGAAGCCAGGCTGTGATGGGCCGTGTTGCTTTCAGCGGGTGGGCAGAGGTTTTGAAAGGTGGTTCTGAAATTGCAGCTGGTACTCCAGTGGAACCTGGGAAATATAAGGAACTTTATGCATGAGGTTTTAAAAACAAAAATCAAGAAATCACGTCCACTCCCCCGACACACACACTTGGGCACTTCAGGACGTCAGTTCTCACCCCTTCCTTGATGGGGCTTTGAAGCTCTGGGGAGAGGAGCTGCCGTCCACTCATCCCCCAGAGGGACTCCGAAAAGGCTTCCTGCCCTGTGACCTCCAACAGGGGCCCCTCGTTAGCCAAGGGCACTGTGGAGGTTTTGCAGGAGGCAGTGTGGCACCATGGAAAGGGCAGTAGACCTGAAGCCGGCACTTCTGGTCTGGATTCCCAGTTTAAAACCAGTTGCATGGTCTCCAGCCCTTCCCTCTGTAAGCCTGTTTGTTCTCTGAAATCACCGCTGAAAGGAACCAAGCCAGGACCCCTTGGACAGTGATAAAGCATGGTAAGGTCGCTGGGAGGAACCAGAGATGACTTAGCAAAAGCTTTATAAGCTGTAAAGTTTCTGCCAGTGTTTGTTGTTGGCTAAGTTACATTTTTTTGTTGTAGACCAAGGAGAGAAGCAAACTCCTTGCCTGTGCCCTGTCCCGTGCTCTTTGTTGGAGAGGTGGGGTTGGCAGGTCTTTCCCCTGCTGGCTTTCCTCTGGGCGGCTCCAGCCCTGCCATTCACCCGTCCAGTTAAAGCAGTAATTACTGTGTCTCCTGCGGGGCCCCAGAGATGGGGGGCCTGGAGAATGAACACATGAGTCGGGCAGCCCCAGGCTGAAACTGCTGAGCCCCTTACCAGCCTCCTGAGTTGGGTCAAGGTTTTTAATCCTCCTGGACTTTCATTTCCTCTTCTATAGAGGAGGAAATGGTGCTTGCCCACCTTAGTCCCATCAAGGATGGCCGAGAGGTGTGTGAACTGTTCCTGTTGGGGATGGAAAGTTGTTTCTGTCCAGTATGTCTCTGCTCACCAGAGAACTCTGTCCACGGCTTCTACTGTCACCCACCCACACGCCCCCTTTCCTCTCTTCCTAGGGCTCTGATCTTGGGTGAGCATTGGGATTCATTTAGCTCCCCACCTGGCACATGTAGAACCCCAAGGTGTGTCTCAGGTTTGTATAATTTGCGACTCTGCTGGGCAGGTGGGCACTCCTTTCTCAATGCTCACTGCACCCCCTTGCTTTCAGGATCACGCCTCACTGCCTTGTAACCTCTGCCCACAAACGGGATGAGACAGCTCGTGTCTTCTAGTTCTCGTAAGCAGAAACAAAGCAGGCATAAATAATCCTATGCCCCAGTGCCTGGCATGAGATGAGTACTCAGGTGACAGGGGAAGGAGGGATATGGAAGGAGAGGCGAGTTTACTAATCTTCCAAAGATGTGGTCCCTGCTCCTATGCTCACTGGACTGAAGTTTCCAGCCTGCAGGCTGCATCACTAAAGCCTTCTGGGGCTCAATTCCAAAGGGCTGCTGTCGATTGGCTGTTCATTGAGAATCATTGAAGTTCAGTGATAGTTACAGAAAGGTTCATTATTGTTTTTAATTTTGTATATATTTGGGAATCTCTATAATAAATGATTTTCTTAAGGGCTATGGAGCTGGGCACGGTGGTTCACGCCTGTAATCTCAGCACTTTGGAGGCTGAGGTGGGTGGATCACCTGAGGTCAGGAGTTCAAGACCAGCCTGACCAACATGGTGAAACCCCATCTCTATTAAATTTAAAAAAAAAAAAACAGCCAAGTGTGGTGGCCCATGCCTGTAATCCCAGCTAGTTGAGAAGCTGAGGCAGGAGAATAGTTTGAACCTGGGAGGCAGAGCTTGCAGTGAGCCAAGATTGTGCCATTACTCTCCAGCCTGGGCAACAAGAGCAAAAACTCCATCTAAAAAAAAAAAAAAAAAAAAAAAACGGATAGATTTGGAGTAGGAGAGATTAAATGCAAAGTTAAGTTATCAAACAATGCATGTAATAAACTCTTGTATAAGAAGGGGGGAAATACAGAAAATAAAAAATAACTGGGCATAGTGGCTCACGCCTGTAATCTTAACTATTTGGGAGGCCGAGGCAGGTGAATCACTTAAAGCCAGGAGTTTGAGACCAGCCTGGCCCACATGGTGAAACCCCATCTCTACTAAAAATGCAAAAATCAGCCAAGCATGGTGGTGTGCACCTGTAGTCCCAGGTAGTCGAGAGGCTAAAGCAAGAAAATTGCTTGCACCTGGGAGGTGGCGGTTGCAGTGAGCCAAGATAGTGCCAACACACACCAGCCTGAGCAACAGACGGAGACTCTATCTCAAATAATAATTGCCAGGCATGGAGGCATTCACCTGTAGTTCTAACTACTCATGAGGCTAAGACAGGAGGATCCCTTGAGCCCAGGAATTGGAGGCTGCTGTGAGCCAAGATTTTGCCACTACACTCCAGCCTGGGCAACAGCAAGACTCCATCTCTAAAAAATAATTGTAATATTAGAGGAAGGAGATAATAAAACGAAATGAGAAAAATCTGTAATACTAATTTTGAATCAATATTATCCAAGCTATCCATATGAACTCAGGATTTAAGAAAAAGATACAGGCCGGGCGCGGTGGCTCAAGCCTGTAATCCCAGCACTTTGGGAGGCCGAGGCGGGTGGATCACGAGGTCAAGAGATCAAGACCATCCTGGTCAACATGGTGAAACCCCGTCTCTACTAAAAATACAAAAAAATTAGCTGGGCATGGTGGCTCGTGCCTGTAATCCCAGCTACTCAGGAGGCTGAGACAGGAGAATTGCCTGAACCCAGGGGGCGGAGGTTGCGGTGAGCCGAGATCGCGCCATTGCACTCCAGCCTGGGTAACAAGAGCAAAACTCCATCTCAAAAAAAAAAAAAAAAAAAAAAAAAAAAAAAAAAAAAAGATACATTTTCCGGCTGGGCACGGTGGCTCAAGCCTGTAATCCTAGCACTTTGGGAGGCCGAGGCGGGTGGATCATGAGGTCAAGAGGTCGAGACCATCCTGGTCAACATGGTGAAACCCCGTCTCTACTAAAAATACAAAAAATTAGCTAGGCATGGTGCTGCGTGCCTGTAATCCCAGCTACTCAGGAGGCTGAGGCAGGAGAATTGCCTGAACCCAGGAGGCGGAGGTTGCGGTGAGCCGAGATCGCGCCATTGCACTCCAGCCTGGGTAACAAGAGCGAAACTCCGTCTCAAAAAAAAAAAGATACATTTCCTATCTGTCCATTGCAAGGAGCTAGGAGGTCCTCCTTTGTATAGTGGTGAGAAAAAAAACCTAGGACTGGGCGCGATGGCTCATGCCTGTGATCCCAGCACTTTGGGAGGCTGAGGCACACGGATCACGATGTCAGGAGATTGAGACCAACTTGGCTAACATGGGGAAATGCAGTCTCTACTAAAAATACAAAAAATTAGCCATGCATGGTGGCACGTGCCTGTAGTCCCAGCCACGCAGAGACAGGCAGGAGAATCACTTGAACCCAGGAGGGGGAGGTTGCAGTGAGCTGAGATTGCACCACTGCATTCCAGTCTGGGTGACAGAGCAAGACTCCATCTCAAAAAAAAAAACCTCCCAGAAGCAATGACATCCTAGTAGCATCCAGCACACAGTACTCACATCTTGGTCTCTATTGCCATTCCCTGCTGAAAGGAACCAAGCCAGGACCCCTTGGAGAAAGAGCTGATCCTGAAATTTAAGTAGGAGTGGGGCAGTTCTAGAAAGCAGGGAAGACACAGACGTCAGTCAAAAAGGCTGTGTGTGGTGGCTCACACCTGTAATCCTAGCACTTTGGGAGGCCGAGGCAGGTGGATCACGAGGTCAAGAGATCGAAACCATCCTGGTCAACAGATGAAACCCCATCTTTACTAAAAATACCAAAATTAGCTGGGCGTGGTGGCACCGCCTGTAGTCCCGGCTACTTGGGAGGCTGAGGCAGGAGACTTGCTTGAACCCAGGAGGCAGAGGTTGCAGTGAGCTGAGATCACGCCACTGCACTCCAGCCTGGATAATGAGAGTGAAACTCCATCTAAAAAAAAAAAAAAAAAGTCAAAAAGGTCAAAGAAGCTAGCGTGAAAGGATTTCCTACTGGCCAGATTTGGTTACATTTGAACATGAAGGAAGAATGAGTTCAATGAACTGGCTTTTTTATTTTGTTTTGTTTTTGTATTTTTGTTTGTTTTGAGACAGAGTCTTGCTTTGTCACCCAGGGTGAGGTGCAA